TCGCCTGCGGTGGGCGGCGGCGGTGGCTTCGGGTGAGGTCTGGTAAAGGGCAGCAGGGAAGTCTGGGGCCAGGGCGGCCTGGAAAGTCTCTGAGTGGCCATTGGCCGCCGGCTGCCCCTGTGCCTGAGGACGGCTTTTGCATCCCGACGTCACCACCCGGCCCCCGCCTCACGTGTTGCAGCCCCCAGGTCGCCTCTGCAGACATAGCCGCCAACTTACTGCCTGTGAGGCTGTGTCCTGACGCCCGCCGGATGCCAAACGCCGTGCGGAGTGACTTCGATTTTTGCAACAGCCCTGCAAGGTAGGTTCCCCTGTGCCAATGCACGAATGAATGAAACTGCGCCGTGCCAAAGCGTGAGGATTCCAAGCTGCTGAGAGGAGGAGGTGGAAGGGAGGTTATTTCTTTCGCTTTGCGGAGGTATCCTTGACAGGTGCACTTGTGGGGATTAATTCTGGGTTCCTCTCATTTAATCTGCTTGCTGATCTTTAAAGTCTAAATGTGAGCATGTCAATTTAAAAAAAAAAAACAAAAAACTCGGGCCCCTGTAATCTGACTTCAGCTTCTCTCTGCCAACTCCTCAGGGCCTCTGTGTGTTGGCCACTGTGGGCACGCAGTTCCTCTTCCGGCTTATCCTCACGGAAGCCTTTCCTGAGTCCCTGGACTAGATCAGGAGTTTGTCTTACACTTGCTGAGTTCCCGATGCTTCTCCTGCGCGGCATGTATCTTGCTTGCAATTTATAGTTACTCGGGTGATGTCTGCTTCCCCCACTAGACTGTAAGCCCCGTGAGCTAGGAGAGGCATGCACGCCAGGACCTGATACGTGGACTTGGTTGAGTAAATGTTTACGGAGTGACTATAGTTTGCCCAGCACTCAATGTGATCGCCCCGGCTGGCTTGGCTCAATGGATAGAGCGTCAGCCTGTGGACTGAGAGGTCCCAGGTTCGATTCCCGTCAAGGGCACATGCCTGGGTTCTGGGCTCCATCCCCAGGATCTCAGTCATGTACCCTGACTGGGAATCGAACCTTGACCTCCCGGTTCATAGGTTGATGCTAAAACCACTGAGTTACGCTGGTTGGCTATTTGGATTTTTTAATTCAGCAAAAACATATGCTCATCTACAGGATCATGAATAATTTCTGTATTTCAAAATATTTGACCAAAGGTTTATATGACTTTTGTAACCAGAAGGACAAGTAAAGGTTATTTGAAAATAAAAATAAAATTTCTGGAAATGGGGTAGCATCATGTGTTTTTCCCCTCTCTTACGTTTGTTTCAGGCCGGCCCATGGCGGATTCAGCTGGTTCAAGCGAAACTTCCTATCTGCTCCCTCCAAACAGGGAGGACTGGGAAGAGCACGGCATCCCTGACTTTGTCTATGGACAGAAGGAACTCACGCGGGAAGGGATCCAGTGGCCGAGGACCGGGCCCGGCCTCCCGGACACCCTGCCTCTGTCTCGTTTTGACTCTGCGCTCTGCTCGGCCTGGAGACAGCGGATGGAGCTGGGGCTGTTCCGCTACCGCCTGGGGGAGCTGCAGACCCGGACACTCCCTGGTTCCATGGGCTTCGTGGCTCAGCTGAATGTGGAACGCGGGGTGCAGAGGAGGCGCCCCCAGAACATCAGGAGCGTCAGGCAGGCCTTTGACCCCGAAGAGTTTAACTTTAACAAAATCCGGCCGGGAGAAGTCCTCTTCCGCTTGCGCCGGGAGCCGGATGCCCCGGGGGTTCTCCAGCAAGAGGGGGTTCTCCAGCAGGAGGGGGTTCTCCAGCAAGAGGGGCTTCTCCAGCAAGAGGGTCTTCGGACTGTTTTTCTCAAACAATCTGGAAAATCCAGGATGCCTAAATCATCAGATTAGCTACTAGTCTGAGCTCTAACTGGAGTTGCCAAGGACACTGTGGTAATCCTGATAGAGCCACAGGCGATACTCACTTTGAGTACTGTTATGAAGGTAAGATTAGATAATGTATAAGAAAGGGCTTGAGGACTGCCAAGCACTATCTAAAAATCAGTCCTCATCATCCAATTTACTGAATAGTCATCTCTTATGTTCTGTTTTACTGCCCCCCTCCTAAATCATGGCCACTATGTAACACAACCCCAATGAATGCTCATTGTACCTCCTGACTATGCTGACCACCTTGAATGTCTAATGAATCAGATACTTCTGTTAACTTTTTGTGCATTTGAATTTCAGGTAATGTGTCAGTCTTAATGAGGTTGTCTTGCTATTATCTAAAAACCTTTGCCGGGCCGGGCTGGAGGCCGTGCTGCTGAGCTCACACCCCGGCTTTCGCGTCGGTTTCAACAGCCTGGGCGGCTTGGCCTCCGTCAACCACCTCCACCTGCACGGCTATTACCTGCCCCACAGGCTGCCCGTGGAGGGGGCCCCCAGTGAGCCCCTGGACCCTGGGGGCCGTTTGCACCTGCTACAGGCTGTCCCGGCTCCCGGCTTCCTCTTTTACACCCGCGGGCCAGGCCCGGACTTAGCAGCCCTGATCAGCAGGGTGTGTCGAGCCACGGACTATCTGACTGCCCGGGAGATCGCCCACAACCTGTTCGTGACCCGGGGCGCACCACCTGGACAGACTTCCTTTTCCTCAGCGCTCACAGGGGTCCGGGTAATCCTCTGGCCCCGCAGGTCCAGCTTTGGGGTGAAGGAGCAGGAGGCGTTCAATGTGGCCCTTTGCGAGCTGGCCGGGCACCTCCCTGTGAAAACGCCCCAGGACTTCAGCAGCCTGACGGAGGCGGCCGCGCTGGCCCTCATTCAGGATTGTCTGCTGCCCCCAGCGCAGGCTGAAGAAGTCCGGGCAGCACTGGTGGCCTTGACAGCGCAGGAGGAGCAATAATTAGGGCATTTCCATCACTGCTCTCTCACCGGGTCTTAGCCTCAGAGGAGGGAGCGAGAACTGATAAAAATGGCCTCTTTCAAGAGGAGATACCTCGGAATAAACCGAATGAGTGAGTCCTCGTGGATGTATCTGCTTCTTACCTTTCTTCTGGGGCAAGCCCCATGAATGCCCAGCCTGTTGTTGGGAAGGGGGCATGCACAAGAGTTAGATACTCCTGAGTTTCTTCATGGACTTTTCCTTTCATATCAGGTCTTACAAAAGTGATAGTTTATGTACCTCTGGCATGGTGCCCCCCCACTTGTTCCCCCTTTGCCTACCACTGAGTTTTTCTTTTCTTTTTTTAAATTCTTTCTTAAGGTATTACAAATGTGTCCTTATCCCCCCTACATGCCCTTGACCGGAATCGAACCCGGGACCCCCTCAGTCCGCAGGCCGACGCTCTATCCACTGAGCCAAACCGGTTTCGGCGAGTTTTATTTCTTTATCTCTCCCTGCATTGGGCCCTGCTCCATCCAGATGCCCTCCTTCTAGCACATTCTTCACCTGCCTGGCTACCGGGAATTTTCCTCCAGCCCTAACAAACACAGATGAGTACTCTTCACATACTTCGTCTAGTGTGAAAACAAGTGGTACTCACAGCTTTAAAGGTACAGCTTCTCCTTTTTAATTTATTTATTTATTTGTTATTAATCCTCACCCGAGGATATTTTTCCATTGATCTTTTAGAGAGAGGGAAAGACAGAGAGAAACGTCGATGTGAGAGAAACACATCGATTGGTTGCCTCCTGCACACGCCCTGTCCAGGGCCGGGTCCGGGGAGGAGCCTGCAACCGAGGTACATGCCCTTGACCAGGATGGAACTTGGGACCCT